GTCTTATCAAGATCTGGCTTGGCCACAGCAGCTACCTCCCAGCTTACACATGGGGGTGGCAACCCAACCAAGCCACTTCAGGGACCAACCTGTAATGTCACTTCAGGCCCTAGAAACTTTGGGCTAGACATGTGCAATTCATTTTTGAAAAGATTTGTTTTTCGGTTATATCCAAGTCTTCAAATGACAAATAACAAATGCATACAAATCTGAATTTCCAATAACTAATTTCAGCTGAGATTAGTGAGTGGTGGTATATGCAAATTTATGTTGTGGCAAAGTGACATTTTACAAAGTGTCCAAGGGCCTCTTCCCCCACAACTCTGACCTGGTGGTTATGGGGGTCTGCAGGCACGGGGCTTATTTGCATTGGGGTACCCCTTCAAGGGGCCACCTAGACACTGCCCCTTTTGTGAACAAATAAAGGGTACTTGTACCCCTACTTATTCACTAAAGGGATAAATCAAAATGTAAAACACACCACACTTTTAGAAGAAAAATGGCTCAATCGATGTAATCCAAGGTCAATCACACTGCACGACACCTGCCAACAAGTACTGCCGCAAGATTACAGTCCGGCCAGATATGGCATTTTGCAGCATGTCTTCGTCAAGTTTGGACTAGTCAACAGATGGGTGGAGCAAGCCATGACCTCACAGGGATTGTTCCACTCATTATTGACATTCTCAGTTGTTATAACACAATAGCATTCAGGTCTGTGAGCTGAGGTGTCGTATAAATAGTGTTTTGGGTCCTAAGTCTCAGTCTTCTGGATCAACCCAGTGGTTGGAGTACCTGGGACACCTGGACCCAATCCAGAGCAGCATGTTTCACCAGTCATCTTCCAGGACAGCCAATGAGAGAAGGCTCTGCCTGCCTGCCTGCAACAGGAAACGCATCAACCACATTAAATAAAAAGGCACCTCCTTCCACCCCAATTCAGTTTTTTTTTTGTGTGTGTTTCCTCCGGCTACACAGGGACATTGTAATGATTATTTTCAGGGCTCAAGTTATATTTGCTTTAGGGCAGAGCCTAACCCTGATATGCATTGGGACCTACTACAGGGATTCCCTATCGGACCCCCATCCATTTCTTGGCCAAGGTTCCCCTCCATCATTCAGGGAAGGCAACCCCCCCCTGGTGTGCAGCAGTGGCAGGGTGTTTACCTGAGCGGTGTGCTGGATACCCTCTTGGGACAGCAGTGTATGGGGTACTTGGAGGCTGGAGAGAGTCCAGTGGTCCCAGTAGTTACCTCGGGCAGAGCATGTCCAGGCACTTACCCGAAAGATGGTAGGAGAGATGCGGTGGTAACCCTCGGCCGCGTGGTGGTTGCCTCGTGTGGGAGGGCTGCGGCGTCTCTAGGCTGTGAGGTGGTTACCGCTGAGGCCGGGAGTATGGCGGAAGTGACGTCACCTTGGGGCCGCCTACACACAGCGCTTGGCGCGGCATCAGTACAGTGATCCGGTTCCAGTGCGCCGTTTCTTGGTTCCGGAACGCCAGCCTCACGCTGGTCGGCGCATTAAGGGGCTGATGCTGACACAGCCAGGGCACAGCAGATGCCGCTCGGCCACGACTACTGCAGCTGCACACCTTTTGTAAACCGACCGGGACCACATACGGCCAGTGAGGACGTTAGGAGTGGGCCGATAGCGTGGTCGGCAGTGAGCTGAAAGATGCCCACGAATGCCGGACCAAGTGTTGCTTCTCCAGATATGGGAGCGCATGGCGCTAAGGTAGGTGAGTTTTTTGAGGATTCTCCTCTACCTTTACCCTGCTTGTATTGGGGGCCTGCATATACATGACAGGGTAAGGCATAGTCATCTTTTCCCAACCATGAACAGCTGATTACAGCATCTGACCCCTTCTCAACTTCCCATTTCCCCAAATAAAAGACCAAACAGGATTGGATATAAAATGGCTGTATCAGCCGTTTATTACAAAATCTCATACAGTATTATTGTCACTTAAAACATGACATATGACAATATACCACAACTGTATCCCTATACGTAATTTGGCCTGAGGTCTGTGAAGGCTCCACTTAGCTACAGTAGATCTCTGCTTACCCCTGAAAACCACTGGCCCCTAGCCGCAACACACCGACTCAGGGACAACCTAGGAAGTAACAGCAGAGACCTACCTACACATAGTTCTTCGACCTCTCTCTGCTGAACCCGCCAGAGAATCACCAGGACTACGCACCACAGACGAGTCCAACCGTATTCCCACGTACCGACACCTGCCTTCACAGGACCTAGGCAACACAGACAAAGGGAACACGACAAAACAGTAATAAAATAGGAAAAGAACAAACTTTAAACAAGGGAGGGAGGGCGGGAATAGTACTAACCGTGTGCCAGCTCCAGACTGACTGGATCCCCCTCCGCCCCCTCAGGCCACCCCAGATGCTCCTCCCGGATGACTTGACCCGGCCAATCGATGGTAAGTGACCATCACCCCACCCAACTTTACTAACCTTAACCCCTTACTCCCTGATTGCCTGCCCACCCTGTCATGCCGTCCTTTCGCCTATTCTTTTTGTCTTTTGCTCCAGGACTTTCTGGACAAGCTGGGTAGTGTTTTGTAAACATTGCTTGCATGTTGGGAAGAGCACTGGCTGATGGCATCCTTCTTGTCTTACACAGGTTAAAGTTCACGCCCAAAGGGGAAAAAGTGTGGTGCTTGCAATGCCAACATGTCATCTTCATGGTCCAAACCCTTATGCAAAGGCTGTTTAGAGAAAGTAGTTGCCAAGGAATCAGGGATGTTCAAAGGTCTGATGGAGGGAAGAAATGGTTACCACATTTCACTCTTTCAGGTCCTTAATACAGAGCCCAGTGGGCATGCTAGTGGAGAACACTAGTCTGCCAGGAACATGAGGGGAAGGTAGCTCGATGGGCTACGCAGAAAGTTGTCTAAACAAGCAGGCGCCCAGTGAATCCTTTGCCTCTCGGGTAGAGTCAGAGGATCAGGAAGATTCAGAGGGTGATGAACAGAGCAGTAGAGCTACAAAATTCCTATTCCCTTCCTTTGAGACGGGTGAGCTGTTGAAGGCTATATGGGATACTTTAGGTATTAAGGAAGAGTCCGCTGAGCTGTCGGTGCATGATAAGCTTTACAGAGGACTCCAAACTAAGAAAGGTCGTACCTTCCCAGTTCACAAGTCATTATCGGAACTGATCCAGGAAGAGAGGAAGCACCCAGAGAAAATGTTTTTCTCGGCAGGTCACAAGCGTAGATTGTGGGTGGCTGTGCGGCAGGGAAGGAGCGGCACTATCTCGGGGGGGCCCTCTTCTTCCTCCCTGGGCTCCCCCCCAAGTGGCGGAAAGCAGGGCCCGGTCACAATTGCGACCGCTGCGACCCTGGTAGTTCCGCCAGTATTTCCACTCACTGCATTTATATCTATATGTAATGATTTTTAACTGCTTGCCTTCCGCTCGTTGTAAAAAAATGGACAGACGGCAAACTCCCATTGGCGGGTTGCTGTAAATGGCTTTTTTTTTTTTCTGCTCGCACGTGCCCCCTAGCGCACGCTAGAAAAAAAACATCCATTGCAAGCAGCCGTCACTGGCTGCTTCACATACAAGCGATCGGCAGCTCTATAGCCGTCCGATCGCTTGTATGTGCTGCCTGCGCGCGCCCTCCACCCCCTCCTGCAGTGCTGCCGTCTCGCTGTCCCCCCCTACCTCCTTACCCTCACCTTTACTCCCGGGATCCGCGGCCCAATCTGTGGCCCGGGATCGGCTAGGGAGGGTGTCAGAAGGAAGATGGGAGGGAGATTTTCCGAGTAGCAATATGTTTCCTCAAGTACTCGCTGATACCAATTACTGATACCTTTTTTAATGTCATGTGACAACTTTTCTAAAACAATACAGACTGATGATTTTAGTACAGTGGTGGAGCGCCAGGACCCGGATGCAGTTGCAACTGCTGTGACCCTGGTAGCTCTGCCACTGACTCCAAGCTGTGGAGGGACTACAAATCTCAGCAATACATTATACCGCAATGCAGAAAACCCCCAGCTATAGAGGACTACAAACCCTTGCAATACATTATATAGCAATGCAGCATACCATCAGATACAGAGGACTACAAATCACAGCAATACATTTTTCAGAAATGCAGAAAAATGAAGCTACATACTTTGTGTTGCTCCGGGGTGGCGGCCTGATGTCTCCAG